TAAAGAATCAAGGATTGATTCCTCAATTTTCAATCCACTCATTTAAAATGTTTGGAGGGTAAATTTGACTTACAGAATAAAATAATAGTCATTTATGGAATTTTTAAGTATACAATTTATAATGGTCATTTGGGGATATGCAATTAAAATCAAATAACGGACGGTTAACTTTAATAGCAAATGACCCATATATATACTGGAATTACAATCAAACTAAAAGATAGCTTAATAGAAAAATCGCCCTTTGTTATTTTTCAATGAATTTGAGTTTGTGTAATTTGCAACTAATTATAAAAATCGTTTTTAAAAATAATATATATGCACGTTCGTTAGCTTACTACTTCAAATTTTATCACTTTCAGTGGTATAGTTAGGAATGATTTATATTCATTTTTTTTTGTTGTGTATATCATAATAATGATTTATTTTAAATTTTTTTATAAATAATTTTATTTCGTTATTCAGTCACATAAGAATACTACAGAATCATGTGACCGCTTGCAAGGGTTGTTCGGGAGTTCATCAAAAATTCTAGAAACTAAATCAAGAAAAGAATTCCGAAATTTGTACCATTTTGCTTAGCCTTATATGTTGAAAGTATAATTTTGAGTTGTTTGTGCTGATTGAACTAACCAACAAATTCAATTTTATAGTTGGTTTATTTGCTAAATCTTATAGCAAAATATATGATATGCATGCTATACTTCCCAATATATCACGTTACGGATCATATGATTTACTATGTTCGTAACTCGATTTTAATAGCAAACCTCCCACTTAAGGTTATAATTTGTTTAACTAAAATTTGATTAGATCAGGAATCAAAAAAAATTTAATCTTATCGATTAGATCCACCTTTTATTTGAATGTGAGTTTTTTTTATATATTATTTTTTTCGCCGCAATTTATCCTCTACCCTTTGATTTATTGTACTTTTTTTATGTTCCTCTTTTGGCTTGGATCGCTTCCGGAAGTTTTAAGTAAGGTGACCGACTTTTCCTTTATAATCTATCAGTTATAGAAACCGAATACTATTTTAATGACACGCAGTATTTAAGCACAATCTAAATATTTATAATTTAGTATTCAGTTGGATTAATATTTGTAGCAAATAGACATTAAATTTTTTAACCATTATATTAAATGAATGAATCCAAATATATAAAGATAAATAGTTATTATTATTCTTTTATGTGAATTTAAAATTTATTCAGATTAATAATCAATTTAAACAAAATTATTTGCTAAAGTTTTTTTCGAAAATTACAGTATTAAATTATACCTACAGTAGTGATTCGGTGATTCGGATCAGACGACAAGTTATGATAATTGTTAGTTACACAATATTTTTATCTTTTACTGAAAAGTGTCAACCCGCTATATTTTTATAAATTTCACTTTCTTATTTGTTTGTATAAAAATAGTGTCCTATCATATTACTTTGTTGAACCAAGTCAAATATAATTAGTTTTACATCCATTAAAGTCACTTTCAGAATAAAATTCAAAAAAAATTGTCTAGCAAAACTAGTTTTTAATTTGTATAAGAATATAAATATTTGCAATTTACAACTTTACACTAATATTCATATAAATACAAACCAAAATTACTTTTTGTTTTCGCGAAGGTAAAAAAAAAAAAAAAAAAAAAAAAAAAAAAATTTGTTTAAACTTTTGTTATCATGTGACTTGACGATCGGCTAGTCTTTTAAATCAATTTACCCGATTACTAGTGTTGTATTAAGTTCTTTCGTTTATGTATTTATAAACAATTTTTAATGTAAGCAGAAGGATTTTTTATTGAATAAAAATGAAGTAATAGTGACAAGTATTTATTTAATAGTATCAATTAATCAGTGTTGCCTCAACGTCAGCGCTCTACACTTTCGATATGTCAATATATTAAACTAAGTAAATGCCAAATTCTAAATCCTAATTAATTAAAACTGCGCAAATTACGAAACTGTTACATAAAAATTGTATAATGGAATACTAATAAAAATCGGAAATTAAAATAAAAATAATAAACGGTGTTACAAGTGCGAAATTATAAAATTAAAAAGGCGAAAATCGAAATTATCGCGAAGGTGTAAAAGGAGGGAATGTTTTTCAAAAAAAATATCTTAAAGGCGGGCATGGGATATTGAGCTGTTTTAGGATTTCCGGCTCGATATATATAAAAGAATTTTAATTAAGCCAGCCTGGCATTTTGACCATTTGTCATACTGGCATCTTGACAAACTGGCACCTTGACAAACTGGAGCCGTGACAACCTGGCATCTTGCACCGTGACAGCCTGGCCTGGCAAATGATCGTCAAAGGGACTAACTATAATAATCATGAACGATTTTCAAGCGAAGTTATAAAGATTTCGGCCGGAATTACATTTAATCGTAACACTAGCAGAAAAAATCAAACACGTTATGATCGTAAATTGACAGCATAACGACACATATGTACCATTAATAATTTAGGATGTAAGTTGTAAAGTTAACTTTGAGCCAAATCACACGTCACATGCCGATCATATACACCAAAATTTCGAAACTGCTGTAAAACTTCGAAAATTTTTTAAGTTTTCTATGTACTGTTTATAACCAATTTTATTTATAAATCTACAAAAAAAAAATTGGTTTTAATAAATAAAATTAATTTCTATAAAAAGGTTAATCCATATCGATATGTAAAATTTTAATCAGAGCTAACTTAAAAGATAAATTCTTACAAATGCCGCTTCTAGTAAATGTCACCCAACATATTTAATGTTTTAGTATTAATTGCGCTCCGGTGCTTATTTTGTGTGACAAATAGACCGCTTTAACAAGAAGATACTTTTGCGTTACACATAATTGTCAGATTTTTATTAAATTTAAATGCTACATTTTTTATTTGAATTCAACTACTTCGTAGTACAAATATATGTTTCTCTGTATTTTATTACCATTATGATTTATTTCTATTCAAAAAGAATAATGAGATACTTGACTTGATAGAGTAATTATGCTAATAAATGACACTGGACATAGACAAAGAGAATAAATTGAGAAAACAAGCCAAACTTGATAATAAATCTCTCACTAAAGTCAGCGGCATTAATAGATTTAGGTGGAAATATGAAGCCAATAAAAGTTTTCAACAATAGAGGAAAGAATAGGTTATGTGAAGAATGCAATCAAGAATCTTTACCGATATCATATTGTGAACTATGCATTCGAAATTATTTAAAATCAAAATTTTCAAAGGGACATCTGGAAATTACGAAATTGATAATCTAATACAGAAATGTCAGTCAGAAACAGTATTACCACATAAAATAGTTGAGATATTCTTCACATAGAGGATGCAATTCATAAAGATCTGCATTCGGGAAATGTATTATATTATAAATTTAAGGCAAAATGGTATATTTGTTATATTGATTTTATGATCCTATTTATAAACCGTTAGGAAACATATATGGGGGGCGGTCAATAGAAAATGGGGAAATCTACAAATTTTGAGTAACTTTAGTTATTAAGCTAGTTTTGTTCACATGACCATGATCAGCAGAGTAAACCAATAAAAAAATTTTTTTAACTAAAAAAGTGGATTTCCCCCTTTTCTACTGACCTCCTCCCATATGGAAATTTTCCTTACATATCGCCCGAGGATATTTTTGGAAAAGAATATACTAAAGCATCAGTTATTTACAGTATTGGCATGCTAACGTGGGAGAACTCATCTAGACGACCGCCTTTTGCTTAGTTTGATTATGATGATGAGCTTATAATGAGGATAAGAAATGGAGGCCAAAGATAGTATCGGGAATTCCATTAGAATTTAGGAAATTAATGGAACAATGTTGGGATGACAATCTGCCAAAAAGACCTGACATTAACACTCTTAAAAACATTTTTAAGGATTAAAAAAATATTATAATTGCAAGAATGAAGGACAAACAAATTTAAATAATAGAAATATAAAATCAAATATCGAACATTTTACATATTCTAGCTCTATTAATTCTAACTAGTTCATATTTTTGAAGACTTACCTAAACCAAAAAATGCTTCTGAAGGTGAGTAATTAATCTTTGTTCATCTTCATAAATTTATTAAGTGAATTACATTATTTTTAATAAACAGATGAACAAGAAGGTAAATTCCGAATCTAGTAATTAGGTAATTTTGAATTACTAAAACTAAGTTCATTTATTTGTTTATTTTAAAAAAAGATTATCATAGTAAACAGCTTGATTCAAGTATTCCCGATTGTATACACTTTAAAGTTAGAAAGTAAGATTTTGACTTTGAATTTATTTATATTTAAATTAGATATTTCCCCAAGAATCATACTGAACTAATGGTCCCTAAGAATCTATTTAAATGATTCAGATCATAATAATTTTTTTTTAATTGTTTACGGTGGTTATAAAATATGTAATAACAATTTATTGCATATTTTTCACTGCTTCAATAGAAACGAAGAATCTATATTTAAAATTGAAAATAGAATACACGACAATAATAAACGTAATTATTATAAGCTAATAAGAGAAAGCAAATAGAACGAAGATTACGTGAAGCTTTTGTGCAAAAGTAATGGTATGCTTTTATTATACCCAGTAGCCAACTCATTTTGTGTGACCCTCTTAATAGTTACTGCAAAAGATGAGATGAAATGAAGTTGGAACCTTGATGAAAGTTATAAACTATATAAATTGATTCTATAACTTATGTAGCTCAAAAATTCCTCTTATAATTCTGGTTGGATTCGATGCTTTTGATCATTCAATTGCTTCTAACATTACGAGTCAGGATAATTTTAAACTTTAAAAAATTTTTAACTATCTATTAATAACTTGAGAGAGTTCTCACACATAATTGGATTACAGAATTTAGTAATAGCTGATACGAAGATTGCTAAAAACCGATTAAAACATACAAACTAAAAAACAAAAAAAATAGTCTTCGATTATCACTGCTAAATAGCTACGACAAAACATATTCATTGCAGTCGGTGATGTCATATAAAGGTCAAATCTATAATTTTAATGAATTTGAATTAGATGGAACACCAAAAACATTAAATACAGGTTAACTGGTTAAATTTATCTCGGTAAGTTTCAATCTCTAACTTAAACTATATAAGAAACCAAATTTCATGTGTAAATAATATCTCAAATATCTCAAACGAAGAAGATATAGAAATTCTTTGTCTGTGAACAATCCTAATTGATTACGATTTTACACCAAGAAGATTCTCCCAGATGTCCATGTATTGTGATCTAATAGTTTATATTAAATAGAATTTGTGGTTTTATCTTGTTTTTGCGGTTTTAATGATTTTAATTGATAAGGTTTACATTTGGATTTTTTTTTTAGTCACTGAAAGCAAACAACTAACAGACTCGCGCTTACTTTTCATGATTCATAGCAGTCTAACAACCGTTCATGGAATCGAAATTCTTTAGCCTACCTCATTATCAAAAAGCAAAATCATGGGTGTGAATAATAATTTCCGAACAAATTCGGGAAGTTTTTATTCCATTATTACTACAAAAAAGCAAATGAATTGGTTATTAACCAGCTAAGATTTTTAGTCCGGTCCAACTTTTTTTTTTTTAATAATTATCAAAAATATTTTACCATAAAAAATTACGTGTTTGCTTTGAAAAATGATATTAATTATCAAATCGAAGATTCCTTCTGCTTACCGACAGCATTTTGCGAAAAACAAAAATCTCTTTTATCAATAAATTTATGAGTTTTACCCAATGAAATAATCACGCAGTCAAGTTTAAATTAAAAAAGGAGAAGGTTTTAAAGCCAGAATTGAAACCTCGCAGAATTTTAGATAACTTTTAAATTTTTTGGAACTTTTTTTGTTTATTTTCTTACCAATTAAATAAAAGCATAACGTAATTGAGCATCTGCGTGCATTTCCACCATCCGTCGATTCCTTGAATAATATGGCCTTTGCGAGATTTTTTTTCAACGTACTTGTCATTCTTAATAATAATAAACATAACCTTGTAAACATTTCTTTAATCTTTGCAATCTTTTTAAAACTTTTTCATCCTTTTCATATTTTATTATGAGCCACCAACTACTTTGAATGTAATAATAATTATGATCTGTAATGTAATTGATAAATATTTTGTATAATGAAGTTATTTTATACAACATAATTTTAGAATAATCTTATTGAATAAGACCAGTACACAATGGATAATTTAAAAAGAAAAACAAAAAATATATCGCATTTATTCAGCGACAATTACCGAATGTTGAATTGTATTTTCAAAATTTATTTATAATTTGCTGATATTAGCATAACATACGTTAAGTGTCAATGCTAAAAATGGCGTTCGCCCGTGATGTTTCAAATTGATATTTTACCGGATTCACTATCGGAGTTGAATTTTTCGTGAAAATATCAGCATGACGCAATTACGTGATATATCAAACGAATATCGTACCGCAAAATTTTTAATAAGTAGCTTGATATAAAAAAAAGCATTTTTTAAAATATAACATTATTACAAGCATTTATGATTATAAATAAAAATTATTTAAAGTAAAAGTTAACATTTTGAAAGTGACAATTATTAAACACCGGAGCCTTTTCTTATTATTGAAAGGCATATTAATTGGTTAATCATGTGATTCAAGATTTGTAATTTGAGAAGTTTGTAATGTTTCTTATTGTAATCTTGAATTTGTTGCACAGGAATAAATTTCTTTTTCAATGTCAGTATTTTTGGATGTTTTAGGTTGTAAACATGGATTTTTTAGAAGTTCACGAGCAGTATTAAATTTTACGGTCTTTGATTTAAAAAAAAATTGTAAAAAATATTATTTATTGATGTAAAAAAAGTATTTCTACGTCACAATAACATGTGACTTATATAATTCATGTGATTTTTCTTATCACAGGCGTTAGTAACCGGGAATATAATAGTTATTTACCGCTCAATCGCCGACATCATCAGGGTCACGGCTACGCTGTGACGCCTGATGATATCTCTGATTTCGCGGTAAATAACTAATACAAATCTATTTCCTCCGTTAATTATGAATTGCTAAATTGTGCAAATGGTAATTAAAGTCTCACTTTTATATTATTTACAATATTTGTTCGAAATGGTTACCACCACCATATTTTCCGAATTTGTGTATGTATTTCCGCATGGTAGCTTATCTATTTGTCACACAAATGCATAATATTAATAAGACAATATGTATTGTAATACTAAATTTACGTCGATCATGTTCTTTAAGAATAATTTCCGGAGTTTAATACCAAATATTCCTTAATAAATATTTTTTTACTGAGAAAATCCTTTTTTATTTGTTGCCACTATGTCTAATATTCGGCGTGAATTAGTTAATGAATTCAATAGTGTATTTAATTTGATAAATGATGATGACATAGACAAAACGTACGAATTGAGACAAAAAGCAATTACAGCTGATAAATCACTTACTGAAGATAAAAAATCAGAGGTATTGAGAAAGTTAACTGACAACCATGATGATAATAAAACTTATTATAATAAAGGAGAGAGTAGAATTTGTGAAAACTGCCAACAAAAATGTTTCGCAATATCATATTGTGAACTTTGTATTAGAAATTATTTAAGAGCAAAATTTTCAAAGTGGACGTCCGGAAATAATGAAATTGATAATTTAATACAGAAATGCCAAATGGAAACAAATTCTCCGGGTAATGCAGTTGAATGGATCCCATATAATAATTTGCAAAATATAAAATATTTAACTAAAGGTGGATGTTCTGAAATATATACGGCAGATTTGATTGATGGACATTATTTTGAATGGGACTCTGACACTCAGCAATTAATAAGATATGGAACATACAAAGTAATACTTAAAAGGTTAGAAAATGTTGAAAATGCTAAAAGAAGATGGTTTGATGAGGTACAAACTTTTTTAAATAATTCGTTATATAATTAAAAACTAATTTATTTATTCTATTTATAGGCACAATCTCATTTAACATTAAGCGTTAAATTGACAGAATGTGTTCAATGTTTTGGTCTTACTCAGGAACCATTATCAAAAGATTATTTTCTTGTAATGGATTTAATGGATATGGATTTAAGGAAATATTTACAACAAAATAATAATAAACTCACATGGAAAAAAAGAATCTTTATTGCATCTAGAATAATTACTCATATTTATTTTCTTCATGAAAATGATGCAATTCATAGAGATTTGCATTCTGGAAATATATTATACTCGAAGTATAATGATTTTTTTTATATTAGTGATTTCGGATTTTGTGGACCTGCTGATAAACCATTAGGAAGCATATACGGAAATCTTCCTTACATAGCTCCCGAGGTGATTTCTGGAAAAAAATGTAGTATTGAATCAGATATATATAGTATTGGTATGCTTTTGTGGGAGATTTCGTCTGGACAACCGCCATTTGCTAATTTTGATCATAACTATGAACTAGCTATGAAAATAATAAATGGAATGAGACCCAAAATAGTACCTGTAACTCCATTAGAATATAAAAATTTAATGATACATTGTTGGAATGCTAATCCATTAAAGAGACCTGATATTAAAATTCTTTATAACAAATTTAAAGAAATGTATATATCATATATTTATGATAATAATACTAATGCAAATTTTGCAATAAACTTTAATAAATGTTCCAGCTCGATTGACTTATTAACAGAAAAATTTAGCAAAATTCATATATTTAATAATTTACCTGAACCAAGAAATGCTACTAAAGGTAAACTATTAAATTTGTCAATTTATATAATTAAATCATCTATATTTATAAATTTATTTTATTTTTAAACTTATAGAAGAACAAGAAAGTAAATATTTATAAAATCAAAATATTGAAAATTTACCTTAATTATTTAATTTATTACTTTTTAAAAATAAAGCATATGATAGTAAGCAAAATAGCCTTATTATTTCAGATTGTAAGTATAATTAAACATATAATTATATTAAATAATTTTAAATTATTATTGATTTATTACCAAATTTATAATAAAGATCAAATTAAACTAAATGAATCTTCAACACCTATTAGTAAGACTATTTATTGTAATATTTATTTGATTTTGTATAATTTAATCATTAAAGTCTTTTTATACAATTAATATTATAGATATGAATAATAAAGCAAAAGACAAATCCAAAAGAATTTATTCAGATGGTAATAATTAATTTATTGAAAATAGTTAAATTAATCGATTTTAAAATAATAATTTGATTTATTACAAATTTTTTTTATTAGAAGATAAAAACTTAAATGCTAAATCTAAAAAAATAAAGTCTAATTATTATGATGGTATTATTGTTTAAATTTATTGTATTTTATAATTATTAAAAGTATTTATTTAAATCAAATATTTAGGAATCCGTATGCAATTTAATAATAATGGACAAAAAAATTATAATGAAAGTGATGGTGAGAAATAAATTTTTTACTTTTTCTATTTATTATTATTTAACTTAGTAAATAATTTAAATAATTTTAAAATAAATTATTGAAGAACCTATAATTATTTAATTTAAATTATACTTTTCTTTTTTTTATAATTTTATATTTAAACCAAATAAAAAGATGAAACATTTTAACACATTTTAATTTGCTCATAATAATCGAAAAACTGACACGTCAATATAAAATTAAGTTGAATAGACTTAAACTTTTCTATGCAATTAATGCATATACTGATTATTTGAATTACTTTAAATTATTTTTAAATGCAATCATCATTAACTCATTTAAATATTTATTTTAATTTTTAATTATTGAACGAAGCTATATTAACGTATGATCGATTGCTATCTTCAAATTCTATGATTTATGAATACAATACAATACCATAGAATAATTTTTCAATGATGCTCTAGATATTAAAATTCTAATTAATAAAGTTTTACATTAGAATCCATGTGTAATATAAAGATATATGAGGAAGCTCTATTAAAAATATTGGAAGTGACAGTAAGAAACGAATATTAAATTTATAAATAATACATTTTATTTGATATGTTTACATTTATAGATGATGATGATATTTGTAATTCGAACCTTCACCCAGAAGGTCAGAATGAACTTGAGATACCTTAAAGTATTTTGATTATTATAAAATATCTTTAAAATTATTTCATTACTGCTTCATCATTATAGTTTGTTCATAATTTATTGCTTACAATTTAAATCATTTATTTTATGATTTGTTTGACAAAATAATTTAAAAACATTATCATATTTCTTTTCCATTTTTTTCCATTTTTAATAGCTTTACATAGATAATAAGAAATAAATATTATATATATTATAAAATTGTTTGTAATGAAATCACGAATACGTTAAAAAGGATAACTTCGGGAATTGTGAACACCAAGAGGTTGTAGTTGCTATCTGTAAAATTAGTAATTAGTAGCGTCTATAATGTATATAGAATTATGGCGATGGTATTATTTTTCTCAATATAGGCCAAATTTCCGATAAAAATAAGAATGATAAATAATCATATTTTGTAAGTCGTGCTGTCTACTTTATCTATTTTTTTTTGCTTTGTGCTTCATTTTTATGCTAATGTTGTATTCCAATTATTCCAATTGCAAAGGTCGATTAAATCAAAGATAGGATTAAGCAATGAATAACAATAATTACCATTCATACAAAGAAACCGAAAATTCTAAATCTCCAAATTTTTATTCCAAAAGAATATTCAAGAACTTTTAATTCCATCGATTACTTATTAAATCACAATTTCAACGAGCCTCGTTTCATTCTTATTTCATATAGGTTTATCGCAGAGCTTGTAATCAATTCATATAATAAATATTGTATATAAATGTAGTTTAATTAAGGATAATTAAAATACATTGCAATATTTTTTTTTTTCCTTTTATTGTCCGTATCTAGGTCGGTTCACTATTTGAAAATGGGAATAAATTTTATTTGTTACATCCTTTTAGGCAATCCAAAGAAAAGAGAGAAAAATATTTGATAATTGCAATATTAGGTGAATTTTTGAGGGAAACTTACTTGTCTTATTAGATATATCTTTTCTCTTTTTTTAAAATATACAGTTATAAAATAATGAAATAACAAACATAGGAATAAAGAATTTCAGATCTGACATTGTTAAATAACAACAAATTTTAATTTGGTTGAGAAAGAAGACTGACTCGGGTATATTTTCTTTTTTGGATATCAATATAGGATTTGTAACAATGAAGAGGTGATTCCCCCCACATTTTAAAATGTAAACACTCGGCATTGGTTGGTGTACAAAAAAAAAATGTTTCTTCCTAATAAAATGAACGGGTCGAACCAAAGAAACAACAAATTTATTATAACATTTGAATTATGCTGACAAATAAAATTAAACAATAACATAAATTACCTGCAAACAGTTTGTTAATTACTTGTAAACAATTCTCTATATGAAAAACAATTATGATTTTAATGTATCACGGAAAATTATCATGCTTTTCGATTCAAGATAACCAGAAAAAGAAATCTTTTCGTAATCTTTCAAAAAGACCCTCTTTAATTTATTTGTTTTTCCTTTGCTCATTTACAAATAGAAATTTCATAAATGGTTATTTTCGCTAAGCCGAACAAATTTTTACAGCATCAGTTGCGCTCTCACGCTCTGTTATCAACAGAAAAAATCCTACTAGTTCATTGAAAATATTTAAATAGTACTTGAAAGCATCTTTAGTTTCATATATTACATTTTTACTTATTCGAATATTTCAAATCTACTCATTATAATCTCAAACTTGATTTTTGTCATAACCCATAAACAATTCTTATTCAGAACCTTTTCTTCTCACCATCAAAAACTTTCCTTTTCAGGTCGGGCTACATTTACGAACCGTGTTCAGGTGTATGCGGTCAATTTTCATCAAGGCCATATCGATAATGTTGCTCAGTTGGTAATACTCCAAATCCTAACGAAAATCCAATATGTGGTAAAAGCGTTATTATAACTGGTCCTAATGGAACCGTTATTTTTAAAGTCGTTGATAAATGTCTTTCATGTTCTTGGTGATTTGGATTTACCTCCAACTTAGAACTTAGTACTATACAATTACTTGGGATTTATTGAATGTTTGTGGGAATAACGAGGTAAATGATGATTAAGAAAAAATTTCCACGACAGGTACTGGCCGAATCCAAGGATTAAATCACCAATAAAAAGTATACAATATAAATGGTTTAGAAATATAATTATTCTGGAATACCTTATTTTTTTAATTCACATATCGCTATTTTTTTTCTTTATCGTGATTCGGTCAATGTCAGTCAGCCGGCCATCTGTTTGAACGACGATTTTAACTGACCGGCTGCCGACCTGTTAATAGAAATATTGATTATTTAATTTTTACTTTATGCTTAATTCTCATCAAGTTCTCACCTTTCATTAATTATTAGCAGAGCATTATCCCGGTCTTTAAATTTATATAATAAGATAAAAAAATAATATGATCGAATACCTTTTTTCCGAAAAGACAATAATGATATACTAGTGACAATGGGTCTTCTGAAGCATGCTTATTAGAAAGTCATCAAGCAAAGATCCGCGTAATGTTAGGAAGTAGAATTAAAAAAAATATATATTTTTCTTTATTGTGTGCGTCTATATATATATATACAATTTTTTTTTAGTAAGCATGACAAAATCGATCTACAAGGCCTGACTAAAAATGACAAAGACAAGAAATATCAATCGTTGTATTCGATAGTTTACCAAGTACGTGAGTTACCGTTTTTCCACGTGAAACGTATATATAAATGACTTGGAAATCACTTCTCTTACTTCTTTTAAATAATATATCTTTAACAAAGAATTATTATTAAAAGAACATATACTAAAAAAAAAGAATATTTTTAAAAGATTAAATATACTAAGATTTTAAAAAAAAAGATTAACGAATAATCCCAATAAAAAGAATCATTTTATAATAATCATAAATTATGGTAGACTTAATTGGAAACACGTAATTACAAACCTCATCCTTGACTCGACCAGAAGCGGATTGCAGTGAATTTTGTCCCTCCGAATTTAAATTGCATTGATCGAATATTTTTTATTTCCAACGGTGAACAGATTAAAACACATGGAATAAGTTTTTAAGAGAAAATCATTTGAATCAATAGGAAATTAGAATATTCATTAGCTCAGGGTTAGTAGTAACAAATCATCGATCTGAATATGAGGTGGAAGGATTAATAAGCGAATTAGGTAAGGTCTAAATTATTAAGAGATATCATATCTTTCAATCTTATGTGATGGGGTTTTACAGGTGCCGATCAAATCTTCAAATAAAGAAAAATTATACAAAAAAAACATATATTGGAAATAAAATAAGGGTAAAGTATATTCATTTTTTGTCATTTATTAATTTTTACAAAAAAAATTCTGATACTAATATTTAATTCTATTGCCATTTGCGGCAATAACCGCTTCGATTACTATCGATCAATATTCTGAAGGAATGTCCTTCCAAGCACTTTTAACATATTTTTCAAGCTATCAGATATTAGATGGTGGGGAGTGCGACGTCGAACCATTGACTTTATTTCTGCCCAGAGATTTTCTATCAGGTTCCAATTTTAACATTTTCACGAGCAGCATTGTCAACTTTTGAACTGTGTGATCAACATTATCTTCTTGAAAGATTCCATTACCACGAGAAATATGCTACTGTAAGGTAGGAATAACAATTTTTCGAATTATTTTAACACGTGTTTCACCAGTAACAGTACCTTTTAAAGAAACAATTGGTCCAAGTCCATTCAAAGAAATCAACCCAAAAACATTTTGCTAGGACTGTGTTATACAGTAACTGCAATACAATCAGGATTCAATTCTTCTCCTGGTTCACACCAGACTTTTCCTTGATGTTCTTGTTGAAATTGTGTAAAAGTACATTCATCTGAAAAAAGCACTCTTCTCCATTGTCTTACTGTCCATTTTTCATGTGTACGGACCCATTCAAGACGAGCTTAACAAGGTGCTTCTATCATTTCTGGTTTGTGGTAAGGCATACGAGCACCAAGTCTAACTTTTTAAGATTACGATATATAGTGATTGCGAAATGGGTTTATTCATACGAACGTCCAAACTTTTGCAAGTTTTGCTGAACAAAGCTAACGATTTTCAGCATTTTCTTGAACAAAAGTTTTAAACTTGTCGAGTTGGTGTGTTAAGGAGTGGTGGGCGGCCAGCTAATTTTTTTTTTGGTGTGAAAGTGACAAAGCGTTTAAGAAACATTATAAGCAGCCATTTTGCTACATCCCAATTGTTTACCATAGATAATCGCATCACGGGATTTTGGTGTAAGTAGCTTTAAAGTTTACAAAACCTTAACTAAAAATGAGAAAACTTTATATATTTGTTTATCACATTAATAAATAAAAAATCAAGTGATAAATATAGCATTTATATTCGTTAATATCAAATTTACGAATTTTACGTAAAAAGCAGCTTGTGGAATTTTTGCTTAATAAAACAAGTTTTATAATTTAATAAATTTTTTTATTCTGTACCAAAATAAATCAAAAAAAATAAAAAAAAAAAAAATGTTGTACGATTCATGTGATTAAATAAAAGAGTATATTATTAAGTTTAGCAATATACATCATTTTTTGTTTCGCACCCTTCTTATTATTATTAAGCGTTAATGACAATGATCTCATTTATTTTTTTTACAAACACGATTTCAAAACAAACTTTAAACGGAAAAAAAGAGTAATATAAAAAGCTTGTCATAATTAAAATAGTGTATTTTATTATTTCAATAGAATAATCAACGTTACAATAAATAAAGCTTGGCACAAAAAAAGAAATCAAACTTTAAAACACGATAACAAAAAATCAATCAGTTAAAACTTAAATGCGAAGTGTGACACAAAAAAAAAACGATTGGACGATCACGCGGCGTGACAGACACACATTGCATCACCCACACTAGTCCGTCCTTCAGCTACGCTTCGAAATAATATAGTAAAATTGAATTACAACACATAAAATAAATGACTTTTTAAATGTTTTTCTAAATATTTTCTAAACACACCGGACGCATATAGAATAAATGATTTCTAAATATACTGGCGACCAAAGGGAGCACTAAACTAATGATGGCTCTTTTCTTTTCTTTCGATTGATATTTAATAATCCACATTTATTTATTAATTACGCACGCGATGTTATTTTGATGTTTGCTTTTTTTCTTCTTTGATTTGTTATTAAATACACCTCGAATGAAAAGAGAAAGGGAGAGAGAAATAGAAGTAGTAAAGTGATAGAGAAAATCAATATTTATAAAGGATCGGGGAAGAATTATATAAATAATAGATCGTGGGAAAAAGTATATTAAATCTTAAAAGTCAATTGCGTTCCAAATCTAGTTACGCATGGGATGCATATTACGCATCAACATAAAATAAATTTAATAAATTACTTAATACATGCATATCAAAGAAACTACACATGGGTGCATTTTATACGAATTAAATTCTCTATTTTATTTTTGTCAAAAAAATTTTTTAAATCTATTGAGTTTTTTATGATCTATATGCTATTTAGGCCATGCAACTTCGATTTTTGGTTCACGTAACATTGAAATTTAAAAATCGACCCGGAGACCCGGCCGTGTCAGTTTACGAAACTTCAGTATTTTTTTTTTATAGTAAAATGTTTATGTGATCTTAATAAAATCGGTCGGCATGTCAGATTTTGTTTAAAAGAAAGCGGATTTACATAGATCTATCTTATTTGTGATACAGAACATATAACTTACATATGAAAATGAAAACCCCCGCCCCGCGGGGTGACCGTGTCAAATTTAAAATTTTATAAATTTTATCTAAAAATTTTAATTTTCCCGTCATAATGGCTATTATACATGTAAATATAAGTTACAATTCTAAAGTTTTGAAGGATTGGGAAGGTTTATCTGTTGAAAAATAAAAGATTTTTTTTTGGAAAAAATTGAAGTTGCATGGCATGGTCTTATGATGATGATATTAACTATTTACAATTAAAAAATTATGCATGTATGAATATAAAAGGAATTTTTTTTTGTTAGAAATATGTCTAATCATATATTCATCTTAAAGGGTAATTTATCTTAATAGACTTAAATGCATATTATGTTTTTTTTTGATCTTTTTGATCATCTCGATATTATTTTTTATAGAGTTCATACGCTTGGAAAAGAAGTTTTTTATTTTTTTGCCGTAATTACCTATAAATAAAAATAGAAAAAATATATATTATTAATGATTTAAATATGATGAGTTATAAATCGTCAATTTTCTCTAATCCATTCAACCAACTTACATTCAAATTCATCCTTGCATTCATAAATTTCAATTCGAATTTCTTTACAATTTTTGGGATAGACAGACGGGCAATTATCATTTCGATTTACGGAATTTTGTGAATTAAAGTCAAGAGACATTTTGTTTATGAACTTTTTAATACTTTTTTTTTTTTTTATTAAAAAAAGAAAATTTTCTTTTGATGTTGAAATAATTCAATGCTGAAGAAGATCTTATTTATAAGGTTTTTTTTGGAGTGGAGTAAATAATTATATAATCAATCTCGAAAATGAAGGTTCGTCATTATTTAGAGTACAAAAAACAATTAAATAATTGTTTAGGGCCACTAAAGCCACAATTAAAGCTCATGATCGTTTGTTTCTTTTTCTAAGAAATGTAGCACTAAATTGTGTATCACTTATCAATTCAATTTAAAGTACAAATTAGTAAAACGATTCTTCTAGAGAATCTTCTTTAATGCAGGAAAAAATTTGGGCGGGAAAACACTGTTGTATAAATGACAAGTGTATCGAAACTCGATAATGCATAATCTGACCGCAACTGTAAAATTTTAATTTAAAGATCAACGATCTTAGATTTGGACTTGATTATGCAAATCATTTAAAATTCCCTTTTATGTCAAGAACTAATCTTATTGGTTTTAAATTTTGTACGTAATTTCATGGGGACGGCCGAAATAAATCCGTTTAATATTGGTTTACAAAATTCTTTTGTGAAATTATGAAGAAAATTTTATTTTTACGATTCAGAGATCAAATTCAAATCATTTATTTATGCATGCTTGCTATTTATCTCAAACTTCATAGCTATCATTCTAAATATGTAAGATAGTGTCTTTCCATAGCTTATAAGAAATAATTCACATTATCCGCTATAAAAAAAAAAATTTTTTATTGGTTAAAATATAAGCATTAGAAACCGTTAAATTTTTTTTTTTTTCAAGTGTAGTGTTAAATTGTCTCAATCTACGAAAATTTGCTTTTAACCGCATTTGTAGTTAACAATGAAATTTGATGCAGATCATTTTCCCAAAAAGTATGACAAAAAAAGTCTATTCTCGCTGTCCATACACTGCCATTTAGACGTATTCATTTAATCAATTTATATCTATTCCGATGACATAATTTTAATTTAAATAAAGTATTATAACGATAATAACGATAATTATTTATGTATGATAATTTGGAGTTGATTGTATCACAACAAAAGTTAAGATTTTGACATTAAATTCTCTAAATCAAATTCAGAAAAAGATGAACAAGTTTCAGATTTCATCCGATCTGAGTAAAATTTATGAAGGAGAAGGATTTTCTAATTTTACGACCAATTAGTAGTAATAATATAAAATTGTATAAAAATTTCTTTGTAATTGCAACTGTCAGTACATAAGTGCATACGTATTGGTTCCTAAAAAGAAAAACATGCTCACATTATTATGATTATCACGCATGCTTAATAATAGTTTATATCGTAAACGAGAATGACCAAGATAATAAGTATTTCTACAGAAAAATCATTCATTCCTTTAAATAATTCTATTAACATGGTGTAGAATATTGGATTAAATTTATTAAAAATAAAAATAGGAGTTGTTATATAAGATTTCTAATTTTTTATAAATTCAAGCTTCTCATATGACAATATAATCAAAGTCAAATTCAAAGTCAAAGATATTTGCAAAATATAAACAATATAATAACCTTTTAGCTTCGTGTCTAAGTATTTTTTTTTATAAGTTGGAAATCAATAAATTGTGACATAGCTGATCGAATAGTAATGCGGTTTTCAAGAGCACCAATTCAGCAATAATCTAAATCCAAAAGTGCTTAAAGGTTATGTTGAAAAGGGTTCTGTTATAATGTAAGATAAAGGTCCAATTCCATTCATTATAAGGCTTGAAGATCAAGGAAAAGTATAGGATATTTGTATATTTAATTTACTAATAATATAATTTATTGATAGGATCATGATGGACTGTTATTTTATGCCAACGGCTATTATTAAATATAATTGCAAATATTTAGACTTTCATGTAATTGTCCGAAGCGTTAGCGAAGGACTTTACTGTTACAATTGAAACCATGCAAGGTTTGTCTGTCACGCTGCGATTGTAGCCAATGAAATTTCAGGATCAGGTGTAACGATAAAAAATAATAACAATAATTGAAATATACCAAATGAAATTTTAAGTTCATGTGTAACGCTTACATAAAAAAAATTAATGTTTAATAAATAGAAACAAGCCTTTTTCGCTCCGAATATGCGCGGGGAGCC